GCTTATGCTACAAATATTAAAAACTGAAATTAAAGAGTAGTTATGCAGCATTGTTGCATGAATCCATATGACTGGGTTACCAGATAAACAACAGGCTTGTGATCTGATCTTGGAAAAGCTCCAACTTTGCAGCATATGAAAGTACAACTTGAAGTATATTTGGTACAGGAGGGCACCAATCATATGGCTCCTGCAATATGGTGACAAAGCCTTTATAATAAGCAGTCTGCTTTCTGAACAAGTCAAAATAACACATATGCAGTCAAGTAATGAATTAACATGTGAAAGATTTGAGAAGCTTGTTTCCTTTCATACAAACTTTGCAATTTCTTAAATTCATGAAGGTGAAAGTGAAAGTTCAAAGTAAGCAGCTGTGGATCTTTCATATACCGATTCTGATTAGCACTCCCATTGCTTTCAATAATTTATCAGAAAATATCAATATAGACAAATCAGCTGTCCTTATTTATTTCATTTCTCTCTACAGTTCCTACAGTATCTTCTCTGTAGTAGATTAATTAGGACTCTTTAGCTGCATCTACCACAACTGATATAGCAAATTAATTGCTGTTTCTCAAATATTTTATGACTTAGCTTTTCCTCTAGAATCAGAATTTATTCCATTTCTGAATCTAAATACAGATATACATGAGTTTTAACTAAATCCAAGATAAAACAAATTTTGGTTCACCAAGTATCTATGATTTCTATTTAATTTTTTCTATTTCCATATCTTTAACTGGAAAAATCAATATATCTGGACACCATACTGCACAGCAGCATACATTTCCATTTCTCACACCAGGTAAGCAGTTGGACGGTATATAACTACTTAAATAAAAGGTATAAAATAAATGTATAATCCTCTAAATGTAACTCTCCCAACTGTCAAAAAAGATTTGGGAACATGCAGGGCTCCAGATGTATGTTGTACAAGCACTGTTTCAAATACAGCCCAGCATGTTACATTTTCTTAGAGGTGGAATTAAGGTACGATATATTCATTTAGGCCACATTTTTATGATGTTTACACATGCAACCTGCTGTGTCTAGTAACAAGATGCTAAGGCATATCTTGGTCCAGTGTCCATACATAGCCTAGTGTGCAACTAAAATGCATGATGGCAACTCATCAGTTGGCCACAATTAACCAGTGCAAATATATTAACAACATTCCTACCATATATGTATCAATCAATCACCCATGGTGGGATGGGGAGAAAACATATATTTGCCTCTCCCCTTCTCTCAGCAACACAGAGACTCTCCAAGTCCCTTCTCCTTAAGAGCCAAAGACATGTATGTGAAACACTCTTGTAACCTCCTGCCTTCCCCAGCATAGCCAAGCTGTGGGCAGGAGGAAGTCACTAGATGGCTAAATTGGGGGGGTTGAGGTTGGGGTGGATTACACTAGCAACAGTATTGTGACACCTGCACCTATCCAAATTCTGACTGAGCAACTTTTGAATACTAGAGTCTCTATGGTAAAACATTTTTGTTATTTAAACATTTCTCACCTTCAACTTGAAATGGCTTATTAACAAAGGTAAAGCTTTTTTTAAAGCTTACCTATTTAAATCCTTGACTTGTCAGTATGATCAAAACTCCAAACCCACACCCCCTGAAGATTTCTGGCTGTAAAATGTAGATATAAGAAGACTGAAAAGAGTCCATCTGACACACTTTCACCTCCTGAGTAGTAAATGTCCTCAAAATTTTAAGTTTTCTTTCTGCAAATAGAAATGAAATCAGAACTTAAAAATTCACAGCAAGTTTATTAATATTTGCCACTGAGACTTTTTTGTGCAACCAATGTAAAATTTTGGAGTAATTTCCCCCTCAAACAAATAAAGATTTAGCAAAGCAGATTAAGTTCTCCTATAAGGTTTTCTTCTAAAAATATTTTTTTTAAAAATCTTGAGTCAGAAATAACCCCCAAAATATTACCGAAGCATAGAATTATGTGGAAGGTTGGTGAAGAAGAAATCTTTCTTGTTTGAAGGTACTGCAATAAAGTTGTAACGGTAAGCTTCCAGCTTATATAAAGCCAAAATAAATAAAAAATATAAAGACAACAAAAACATTCTTACACCTTAAAAACTAATTGCTATAGTTTAACATGCACTTTCAGACAGATCCACCTCCTTCCTGATATGCTAGAAGAAACTAACACAGCTACCTCTTCTAAAATTAGATATATAAAGTGCCATTACTGACTTCATGAAATATTTCCAGTCCAGAATCAGTCACTTAATAAATAATATTTAGTATATTAGCATGCCGTAGTATCACCCAAGTTCTAAACAATAGCCATGAACACATCAAAACTATTACCAGCATTTTAACTGAATTCAACAAATCTTCAAAGGGTTAATTTTCATATCTTCTATTTTAATTTTTGTATAGAAAGTTGTTAGCTTCCAATAGCCAAGAAAATTATTGAAACATGCAAGAGGAAATCAACACAAAACAATACTGTGTCTTCGTTACTGTATACTAGGATCTGCTGAGAATTTAGTTACTTCATATCAGCATTCTCTACACATGAGGGTTTGCATCCTGTAATTGGGTAACTCAAACTGTTTAGCATATCTTTTTTTTAAAAATCATATGGAATAAAACATTTCCATTCACCTTAAATTTCATGTTTCTCAAAAAGGCTGTAAAAAGTGCAAAAATTCCAGCAGCAATAATAACAACATTTTGTCAAGTCAATTCCAAGTTATGGCAACCCTTTCCAGGGTATTCTAGGTAGAGTACTCAGATGTAGTTTGCCATTCCTTGGGACTGTGCAACTTGTACAAGATTATACAAGCTAGCTCTTCTGGTATACACAGTAGGGAAGCAAACTCACAACCTCTGGCTATGCATCCAGATACCTAAATCAGTGAGCTATCAATATACGTTACTAAAATATAGCATCGTAAGTGCAACTACGAGATCTCCTGGGACTGTTCTCTCTCAAACATAGCAACCATGAAACTGCAGCAATCTCCTATGGGAAGACTTTAAATGGAAGCAGATGAAGGCACCTTCTTTCTGCCTGTTCCTACAAATTGATACACATACCCACCTACCCAGTACTATGTACCCACTGCACAACCATGGCTATCATCAAGTTCAGGTATCACTAGGGATACTGTAACAATTCATTCCAACATCAAATGTATGATAAAGAATGCCAGAACTATGCACGAGATTTAACTAGGGCCAATATACAAGAGATCATAGTGTTTATATTACTTCTATGTTAATTACCAGTGCCTTCAGTAGATCTCAGTTCAGATTGGAGCTTTGCAGTCCTTGAACCCTCACCATTGGGCAGATGGATTACAAGTTTTCTTTTGTATTAGGCCAATTATCTGGAGGCAAAACATTTCTCTATACAGGTTTTATGGAGGTTTCAGGAGTTTCTAAAACCTGCTCACTGATGCATAACTTACGTGTGTTCCATGTGCAAATTTTCAACATATCTACAATAAAAATTAGTTAATTATGTGCTGTCAAGTAACCTTAATAGGGTTTTCAACGGAAATGAGATATTTAAAGAGTGGCTTTATCAGTTCCACTCCCCCAATGAGCTTCCAAGGCCAATTGAGGAGTTGAACCTGGACTCCCAAGTCCTAGTCAATCATTCTATCCATTACAGCAGTGGTCCCCAACCTTAGGCCTCCAGGTGTTCTTGAACTTCAGCTCCCAGAAATCCTGGCCTGCAAAGGTGGTGGTGAAGGCTTCTAGGAGTTGTAGTCCAAGAACATCTGGAGGCCCAAGGTTGGGGACCACTGCATTACAGCATATAGAGCCCCCAAAATAAAAATTACAATACTGAAAATACTATGCAACCAAAAAAGTAGGAGAAAGCAATCTGTTAATTCACTCCTATACATGTTTAATTTGAAATAAACATCACTGATTAATGGGAAAATGCTCAAAAGATTGCTGCCTAAACAATGTTTCTTTTATTTGTAAACAAAAGCAATACTTGGTACTTTCATTCTGAAAATACTGTACGCCTATGGGTCTGCATAAGGTGGTAGCAATGGTTTAAAAAAAAAAAAGAAACCTGTAAGTGAGGACAGATATCACAGAACCAACACATCCCAGAATTGCTTGGGGCAAACAATGGGGATTTAGACAGATCTCTTACTAACTGACAGAGATTTTTTTCTTTTGTCAATGTAAATCAGTGGAATGGTTTGTTCCTTTAATTTGTATAGGCAAAGATGATGGATCTACTGTTAGAAAGGATACAGCTGACGCCAGGTGCACCTGTGGCTCCAAGTAAAGAAGCTAAACTACGTATACCTAGTTTTACAGTTTTAACTGAGGATTTGCGGGGGGGGGGAGGAGTCCAACTTACTTGGACATCATTGGAAGCGAAACCTGACCAAAGGCAACTTCCAAAGGCCTTTTTCGGTCCATCCTACGTTTTACTACGAAAAAGCATCAAAGTCGATCAGATGGAAGTAGTAGCAGAAGGAACTTAAAGCCATTCTTGTTGCCTCTAGGCAAAGCAGGGCAGAATCTTCAAACAAAAGATACCCCCGTGTCGTGTTAGGGAAAGAGCGAAGGGGCAGGCATAGAGACCACCCCATGGAAACGCCTTCTTCCAGTTTCTGGAAAGGCGGACCGACTCGGCCCAGGAATCGGGAAAGTGGGCTACCTCTGCCGCGGCCAGGGTACCAAGCCAATCCTGAGGCCTCCTCGGGGAGCCCCTGGGCGCCCAAAGCGGGGCCCGGCCCGGCCCAGCTTACGTAAAACGGTGGCGGCGTCGAAAGGGGGCCCACCGCGGAGGCCTCCGCTGCCAACCTCCTTGCGTCTCGCTACCATCCGGATCGCTGCAAGCGCCGCCACCTGCTTGGGCCTCCGCTCCAGCCCCCGGGCGGCGGCCGGCCTACCTACCTACCCCCGACGGGGAGGCGGCCCTGCCCAGGCCAGGCCTCGGGAGCCGAGGGGCTTCCGGGTCGAGCTTCTCTGTAGATTGGGTTCCCCGTCCTTACCTTGTGGATTCTCTTCAGCGCCATGGCGGCGGCGGCGGCGGCGGAGCCTGTGGAGGGCGGCGCGCGAGAAGGCAGGCAAGGCGGAAAGGAAGGAAGGAGGGGGATTATTTTCCGGCTGCGGAGGAAGCGCGGAGGCCGATCGGCGGAAGAGGACGGGCGGGGGGATGCCGGCCTGACAGGAGCCCGAGCGTTCCTTCTTCTCTTCCCTTTTCCGTGGCCCCCTCCCTGGCTCGCGCTCGCTCTCGTTCTTGGGCCCCCGTTCCCGCCTCGTCGCTCTTTTCACCGGCGCTGCCCCCCTCCCGGCAGCGAAGGCGGCGGCCCCCCCGCACGGCGGCTCCCTGGCTCGCTCTCCTTCACTCACTCGATCTCAGCGCTGCGGCTGCTCCGGCCGCATTACCCCCCGCGCGGAGTTCTTTATGACGCGACAGCGTCGCAAGGTTAATAGGATTCCTCCGCCACGCAGTCGAGTGCCGTGAACTACGCATGCGCCGTAAAAGAACCAGTGGCAGGCCGGGTCGGGGAGGGGGGGGTGATACTTCGGAGTAGCGTGGTGTAAACGGGAGGCCGTCAGAAGGGGGCGGCCGGCGAGCTCGTTCTCGGAGAGTCGGCCCGAAGCCGAAAGAGTCGTGCCGCCCGCAGGGGGGAAAAAAAGCAAGCGGAAGGATATAATTCTCTTCTGCGAGGGGCACTCCAAGAAACGAGACGAGGCGTTGTTATCGCGAGATGTGGTGCAAAAAGTTCCTGGAACTGGCCAGGTGGCCCCAAGTGGGCGGGAGGAGGAGCCGGAGGGCGGCCTCGGCTGCCCGGAACCTTCCCCGGCTTCCTGGTTGGCCGGCAGTTGCGCCCGCCTTTCCGTTCGGGTGACTGGGAAGCCTTTACTTTTGAAAGTGTCAGATGAGGGGAGGAAGGGAAGGGTTTCTAACGTTGTTGATCCGGATCGAGATAGGCCGCCTAGAGTGGTCGAAGTGACCAGATAGGCGGGGTATAAATAGAATAAATAAATAAAAATAAATAAATAGGCGAGCTGAGGGGGAACGACTTGGCCTCAGATATCGTCCTGCTGAGGATTTTTAGCTCTTCACCAGCTTACTGTAAAACGGGTTGCGAAGGAATCGTGCAGAGGGGTCAAAATTATATTGCGCTGCACATTTTTCTGAAAGGGTGGAGGTTTTTTTTAATTGCAAATAAGCTATTATGCCTTGAATTTGCGAATCAAATTTTGTTTCAATATAAATATAATGCTAAACACCAGGTTCGCTCAGGTGTAAACGTACATGCTCAATCTTCATTGGGACAGTTCGATTTTCTTCCAGTTTTCTCCATCCTTTTGGAATTGAGCACAAAGCATTCCGTTTTTGTCGATCTTGAATGTGCCTATACTCTCTCACAGTACTGCATTCTTAAATACTGATATTTCAGATAGTCTGCTAATTCTCCACAGTTGATGTAGAAAGCAAGCTGATACTTGAAACTACAACATAATGTTACCAGATTTAATTTTAAATCTTCAGGGGAGGTAGTACTCCTCATAAAGATGGCATCCTGCAAGAAAAGTTTTTGTTCTAGTTCATTCAAAACAGCTTTTGAAAGTAGCTAACATCAGTAAAAGCCAAATTCTTTTTTTTTCAATTAAAAGAAATCCTTCTGAATTTTAACATCCAACTAAGATAATTGCTACAGCTCATCTGTTTGCACTGGTACAAGCAATGCAGCATGTTCAGCTTTACGCAACACTGATAGATGACTTACAGTTACACAAGGGCAATTGTAGAAGAGGTAGCCAGCATAGTCTGAGCAAGCAATATAGATAAAAACAAATTTAAAAAAGACATATGTGGTGGCTTCTTAAAGGAAACTTATATTTTTAATGTGCATTTTTGTGTTTAAGTCCACTTCCTGGACTCTGTAACTTCTCCTCAGGCATTTGGAATTTTTAAATGCTCTGCTGCTTCTACAGCAAGCCCTGCAGGAGTCCCAGAATCCATGACAGAACACTGCTCCCAAGGGGAAGGGACAAGTAATACCAGGAGGTGTAACCCAGAATCACATCCTTTAGAATCAAAGTACAATGGCTGATATGTAATCCTCAAGTAGTTTGAACAGCTGCATCCTGACTGTGAGCTAGCCATCTGAGAAGCAGTACTTGGACTGTAGTTCACTACCATGCTTGTGGAAGAGTGTGGGCCTTTGAACATTGGCTTTTGACACCTGCCTAGCCCCAATGACCCACAATGGACGTTTGAAAGTAGAATCTGTCCTTTTGATTCTGACCTGTACTGTACTTCCTCCTGCAGCCATTGTTAGACTGATATTCTCAGGGTCTGCCTATCAGTCCCATTTATTTTCCTGATTCTCTGAGGAGCAGATGTTTTGTTGCTGCCCTTCCATGCGTAGTCTAAGGTGCATGTCTATCTAAGCAGAATTAGGGCTTAGACTTTTCTATCTCGAAATAAAATTTTGTATTAACAATAGCCTTAATTAACTGTTGAACAGTGCAAAGAAATAGAGGAAAATAACAGAAAGGGAAAAACCAGAATCCGTTCAAGAAAATTGGAGATATTAAAGGAACATTTTGTGCAAAGATGGA